CAGACTCTGTGATGGTGAATGCTCGCTGTAGTCACTGTATGTTACTGTATACATAAGCTAGATGTCACATTCATGCTGGTAATTTTTTTGCATTTTATGTAAAATGTATGTTTGTAAATAAGTATGCAAGTGTGTGTTTTTACACACTTACAAACAGGTCAGTGTCATTCTATTATATGTCGTTTTGTTTAAAAACTACAATGGTGTTAAAGTCTTATATTTTCATGCCATAAATAGTATTACAGAGAATTATAAATGTCTCATGTACATAAAAAGATGTAAGTTCAGTTTTTTAATAAATGTGCAAAACCAGCTCAATTTGTTTTTACGATTTACTCTGTGTTTAGTAGATGATCCACATATAAACTGACTGTAGGGTTTATAGCAGGGGTAGGCAACCTTTCTGATGGCAAGTGCCATTTAAAATTATTAATAAAGATGTTTGCAGCTATCAGCGAATAGTTATCAGCTATTTTGAAACAAAAAAGACACTGTTTATCAATAACAAGAACTCCATGACAGCAAATGAACTGTACAACAGAAAATACAAATGCTATTTATGGTCTCCTCACAACAATGATAAGAAAAATAAACTAAGCCAATATGGCATGTCTGTTAATACAGAGATACACATGTTAATGTGATCTTTGGTCTCAGAGTGTCCAGCATTTAGACGGCTACCTGAGGACTCATGTGAGAGAAAATCTGCTCACACAGATATGTAGAGCCAAATACTGTCAATAAGGCCTCTGCAATGTTCTGAAGACAGTTAAACTTGTCAGGTAGTGATGTCCAGCAGGTGAAAATGCAGCTCCATGAACATGCACAGCTGTGGATTCCAGCTGCTTCGATGTTGCATTAACTGGCATTAACCCAGCCAGTTAATGCGAGACAAATCCAGCTGCTCATTTAAGATTTCTGGTTTGATCAGAAAATAAAACATTGGTCCATACACCTGAAAGTCCCAAAAATGCATTGTGTCTTGAGTCTACGGATGTATCCATGTATTTCCGTGTTGCTGATGCTGTGCTGAGTGGAAAGCTCCTGAAGCTTTTGAAGTGTCGGAATGTGGAAAGCTAACAACGTCCCTCTTACCAGTAGGCTAAGTTATTTTTAAACAATTACAAGTTGAATCTGGTAGTTGGGGTTGTTAGCTAAGATACCGTCATTGAGAAGCGGCACAACTAATGTGTCTACGCGAGCTGATTTGTGATGTGCAGCGCTGGCACGGCCATTTATTTTTTGATGCACCTTCTCAGATTAATTCACTGCGTGTCATGCCCAGGGCTGGACTGGGACAAATAAAAAAACAGCCCGGGCATTTTGACTAGAGACGGCCAACCAGGTATTAAAGCCATAAAGCCTTTGAATGAAAACAAACGCTGTTGTGACATTGATGTACAGTCTTGTTGGTATATGTATGATTTCTATACATTTTA